ATCGATGGCCGCGCCGCACAGAGGCTGCAAGACACCAGCAGCTATGCCAAAATCCTGACATGCCCCAAAACCAAATTAAAAATATCCTATAAGGATGCCATAAATCGCTCCATGGTAGAAGATATCACTGGGCTGCGCCTTCTGGAAGCCGCCTCCGTGTCGTCCAAGGGCTTACCCAGCCCTTACAACATGTCTTCGGCTCCGGGCTCCCGCTCCGGCTCCCGCTCTGGATCCCGCTCCGGATCTCGCTCCGGGTCCCGCAGTGGGTCCCGGAGAGGAAGCTTTGACGCCACAGGGAATTCTTCCTACTCTTACTCCTACTCATTTAGCAGTAGTTCTATTGGGCACTAGTAGTCAGTTGGGAGTGGTTGCTATACCTTGGCTTCATTTATATGAATTGTCAATTTATTAAATAATAAAAAAGAAAATCCCAGTTATTGCAGTAGAGTGATAGGACGTTCTATGCTTACAGAAAATATAGCCATGATTGAAATCAAATAGTAAAGGCTGTTCTGGCTTTTATCTTCTTAGCTCATCTTAAATAAGTAGTACACTTGGATGCAGTGCGTCTGAAGTGCCAATCAGTTGTAACACAAATTGAACTTAGGATTTGTTTCTTCTCTTCCGTGTTTGGATTTTTGATCAATTCTTTAATTTTGGAAGCCTATAATACAGTTTTCTATGCTTGGAGAAAAAAATTAAATGGATCACTGATATTTTAGTCATTCTGCTTCTCATCTAAATATTTCCATATTCTGTATTAGGAGAAAATTACCCTCCCAGCACCAGCTCCCCTCTCAAACCCCCAACCCAAAACCAAGCATTTTGGAATAAGTCTCCTTAGTTTTAGAGTGTGGATTGTATAACCGATATAGTCTTTGACGTACTTATTTGGTTTGGTGTTAATTTGACTATATGTGCATGACAGGAGCAATCTTTGCTTTTCTTTGGTCAAAGTTTTCTGTTTATTTTGCTTGTCATTTTCGATGTACTTTAAAAAGGTGTCTTTATGAAGTTTGCTATTCTGGCAATAAACTTTTAGACTTTTGAAGTTTTTGTGTTTTAATTTAATATGTTTATAAGCATATGTAAACATTTAGGAGCATATTTTTATCATAGGTCTAAAAACATTTATTAAATACCTGTGAAGAAATACCATTAAAAAAACTATTTGGTTCTGAACTTTTATTAGAAGATGGTCTTTTGAAGTTAGTCCTTTCAGTACTTCTCAGATGCCTGTCATGTACCCAATGGAGTCCTTGGAAAGAAGGCCTATGTAAAGAGGCCAGCCTGGAGGTCAATACCGTGTTCTAGTTTATTCTGGACATTGAGTACCAAGTAGCGTTGGCAAAAGTCACCATCATAGCATTGAAAAAACATGAAGTTGCTAAGATGCTTTTTGAGTATCCTCAAAATAGATAGTGTTTCAGTTTGTCCCATAAGAGGAAAGACTTGCCCTGGAACCCATGAAAATGATTTCTGAAGAGTTCTTGGCTCTCTGTTGAAAGACAAGAAAATATAAGCCTGTTCCTTTGGATCAAAGAGAAACTACTGAAATTCACACATTTGTCATTAGATTAACATGACTTCACCGAACACTACCATGTCTAGTATTGGCTTAGTTACTATGAAGATTGAGTAGAATTTACTTTTTTTTGAGACAGAGTCTTGCTCTGTCACCCAAGCTGCAGTGCAGTGGCGCTATCTCAGCTCACTCAAGCTGTGCCTCCCGGGTTCACGCCATTCTGCCTCAGTCTCCCGAGTAGCTGGGACTACAGGCACCTGCTACCATGCCCGGCTAATTTTTTATATTTTTAGTAGAGACAGGGTCTCACCCTGTTAGCCAGGATGATCTCGATCTCCTGACCTCGTAATTCGCCCACCTCAGCCTCCCAGAGTGCTGGGATTACAGGCATGAGCACCGCGCCTGGCCTGAGTAGAATTTACAAGCCCCTTGACAAAGCATTTGCAACGTGGGTAGGGACAGAAACAGATAAAGCAATCAGTGGGACAACTTTCAAATGTCAGCAGCATATATTAATACAAATTTTATAGTACAGATAGGAAAACATGCTAATTGTATGGAACAAAAAAGATCATTAAGATTAGATAAATTATTGGGGGCTTTTGGTACTTAGAGTGAAAGTTAGCTCCATTCTCATTGCATGGGCCATTTTTCCTCCACAGCACTCTTCCTTATCTCACCTCTTCTTCCTCTTACTCCCTTTCCCCATTTGCAGGAGTTGAAACTAATTTTATGCATTAAATACTGAGTTCGTGTGCCATGCATTGTGCCAGAAGCCATGGAGTCTGTGCTAGAAATACATGGTGCAAAAATAGCCCTCATAATCCAAAAGGAAGAAGAAAAATGTGGTAAATGTTGTATTGAGAAAAATGAAGGAAATCCTTTATGCTAGAGCTGGGAGACTGTATTAGTCACCTCACCCTACCATAACAAGATGCCACAGACTGAGTGGCTTAAACGGAAGTTTATTTTCTCACAGTTCTGGAAGCTAAAAGTACATGATCAAGGTGCAGGCAGGGTTGGTTTCTAGTGAGACTTGGCTCATGGGTGGCTATCAGTCTTATCTGGTTACAGTACCCCGTCCTCTATGACCTCATTTAACCTTAATTACCTCTTAGGGCCCTATCTCCTTATATAGTCACACTGTGGGTTAGTACTTAAACATATGCATTTTTGAGGGACCCAATCCAATCCATAACAGAGGCCAGGAGTCTGGACATCACTCCAGGAAAGTGATAATCAAAACAGGTCAGCAGCGTCAGTGTAGAGCAGTTCCTCGGGCTGAAACAGTAACTAGAGAGTAGAGTCAACCGACAAATCTTTCCTACTCCCTCCAGGCTTCTGCCAAAGTTGTCATGAAGCGCTGAGATGACATGGGGCTGTATCCTGAAGAGAGGATATGTTTGATGTGGGCTAAGTTTTAATTTGGTTCACGTATACAAACAGGGAAATATACACTAGAACTTTTTATCAGGAGTCATGTCGCATCAGAAATAGTCTCACATTTTTCCAGACCAACTGGTTAACTATGGAAATGCAAATAAAAAGTAAGGATACCGGGCTGGGCGCAGTGGCTCAGGTCTGTAATCCCAGCACTTTGGCAGGCCGAGGCAGGCGGATCACAAGGTCAGGAGTTCAAGACCAGCCTGGCCAATATGATGAAACCCCGTCTCTACTAAAAATACAAAAATTAGCCAGGTGTGGTGGCATGTGTCTGTAGTCCCAGCTACTCATGAGGCTGTGGCAGAAGAATTGCTTGAACCTGGGAAGTGGAGGTTGCAGTGAGCTGAGAGTGTGCCACTGCATTCCATCCTGGGTGACAGAGCCAGACTCCATCTCAAAAAAAAAAAAAAAAAGGTAAGGATACCATAGGCAGAGTATGAATACATTAACTTCATACTCCCCTCTCTTACCAGCTTCTAGACACTTCTGTATTTTATGGTGCTGCCTATTTATAGTGTTATGACCATTTTTTTAAAGTGAGAACTGTGCTGTTTACCTTTAGAAATAATTGTTCACCAAAAAATTCCTCCACAGTTCCTTCACAGGGGTAAACAAAGTGCAAAAGGAAACCGAGGTTTGACACTCGGACTTGAAAAAATTTTAAAAAGTAATATAAAATTGGTTAGATTTTGGGAGTTAAAACCATTTGGGGAAACTACAAGGGCTAATTCCAGGTCTTGGGTAGGAAATATACAAAGTTAAGCTTGTGTTATCAAAGCAAGAAAGCATTCAAGGACTAATAGGGATACGTCAAAGACACAGATGGCTTAATGTGGCTTCCACTGGCCACATTTGGGACAATTTGAGCATCAACAAGAATTACGATGTTAAAGGAGTATATTATATTGAATTTAAAAAAAAACCTTTAAATCAATAACTTTAAAAACACCTTGATTCCCATAGTGAAGAAAACACTAAAATGGAGGTGTGGAAAGAACGCCAGTTAACAAACACAGAAGGCATGATACTATTACAGAATCATTTATAACTCCTATTGTAACAACAGAGTCAGTGAAGGACTGTATAAACCAGTTGGGGAACAGGGTATTCATATGGCCTCAAGGTATAATCTACAGATTGCTTACCAGTTCCTAAGGGGAAAATGGGGAAAATGTACTATTAGAATGAAGAGATGTAGCCACCATCTTTACCAAGTGATCAAAGTTAGCATTACTAATATAATTGAGTTATGTGTCCCTGTGAGTTGGCAATACCTCTTAGGTAGTATTCTTGCTAAAGTGCTCGATCTGAATCTAATCATGAGGGAAACAGAATCTGACAAATCCAGAATGAGGGATATTCTACAAGACAACTGGCCTAGGCTCATCACAACATTTAATGATTTAATTTAAAAAGAGGGTGAAGGAGGCTGATCTGGATTAAAAGAGACAATAACTAATAATAGCTTATGGGTTGAAAAAATAAAACTGCTATAGAAATAATTTTGGGGACAATGGGGAAATTTGAATATGAACTGTATAATAAATGATTTTATGGAATTACTAATTTTCTTAGGTTTGATCATGTATTGCGGTTACACAGGAAAATGTTCGTATTCTTGGAAGAAGCATGTTAACATATTTGGGGGTGAAGAATCTGCAACTTACTTTCAAAGAATTTAGCAAAAATCATTGGGTGGGGCTGTGAATGTGGAGAGAACAGATGGAGAGAAATCAAACGTGGCAAAATGTTAACAACGAGCTGAAGGACAGCTAAACGAAAGCTCACTGTACTATTTTTAAAACTTTTCTGTAGCTATAAACCGTTTTTTCTGAGAAAGTCGAGGAGCGTGAACGTCTTTCAAGAAACGCCAGCGCAACGGCACCCAAAAGCTGAGAGGAGATTGGAAAACGCCTCTCAAAATAACAGTCCCGCCCTTCCCGGGGCTCTTCCCTACAGGCTGCTCCAGTCACGTGGTGGCTGTGGCCCCGCCCACAGCTCCCAGAGGCCCGCGCGCGCCGTCTGCAGTTCGGCCGCTTCCTCTTGGCGGGTGGGCTGCAGCCATGGAAGGCGAGCCTCCACCTGTGGAGGAGCGGCGGCGGCTGCAGGAGGAGCTGAGCGAGTTCGTGGAGAGCTGCTGCCGGACGCTGGAGGAGGTGACGGCGTCCCTGGGCTGGGACCTGGATAGTCTGGATCCCGGGGAAGAGGAGGCGGCGGAGGTGAGGGGCGCGGCCGCTGGGCCCTTTCGGGGACTATCGGCCCGTGGTCTTCTCTGGAAGAAGGGAGATCCGCACTGGCAGCCGCGGAGGAAGGGCGAGGAGTCCTTGTCCGTGTGCATAGCCGCGATGGGCGCTCGGGACCCGAGGGGAGCCGCGGGCCTTGGAGCAACCCTGACCTCCCTGAGTCCTGGGCTCGGGCGCGCGAGGGCCTCCCGAAGGCTCCACGCCGACCTCCGGTGCGGCGCTCCTCCCGCGGAACTTCGAGCTTAAAGAAAACGGGGGGCCGGGCGCGGTGGCTTACACCTGTAATCCCAGCACGTTGAGAGGCCAAGGCGGGAGGATCCCTTGAGCCCAGGAGTTCGAGACTAGCCTGGGCAATATGGGGAAACCTCTTCCTACCAAAAATAAAAAAATTAGCCGAGTGTGATGGTGTGAGCCTGTGGCCCCAGCTATTTGGGAGGCTGGAGTGGGAGGATCGCTTGAGCCCAGGAGGTCGAGGGTGCGGTGAGCCGAGATCGCTCCGCTGCATTCCAGCCTGGGCGATAGAGCAAGACCCTGTCTCAAAACACAAACAAACAAAATTCCGGAAGATGTGTTGAGTGAGGAGGGAATGGCAGATTTGGTATTTATTTAGAAACTAAGTGAATGGGTCTCAGAGTGCTGCAGAGGGATTGGCGGTTTGCATTGTCATCTGTCATATGGATTTCGCAGTTGCACCAGATTCGGTGTCAGGAGAGCTGGGAGTTTGCCAGTTCGCCTTTCTATGCCTTAAAATTGGACACTTCTTACTGGGACAGCCCCGATTCTAGGATTATTAAAGGATATCACCAAGAGATGGTAACTGGCAACTCCCGTGGACATTAGCATTGCTTTTTTAAAAATGTAGGCAAGTGTATTTAGAGTGAACAATGGTGATTTTTGTTTTTTGTGGGGTGTTTTTTGGTGGAGTGAGAGGAAGGGAAGTGCTCCAATGTGGGGTAATTCATTATCTTTAATATTACTTCTGGGTTTACCATGCTGTAATTTCTCCTGGGTTGAAGTTACTGATTCCTGAGACATTTAAAATATATTTGATTTCTGTATATACCATTCATTATTTATTGTATTAAAAGCACAGAAGAAATTAAAAGATCTTTATTGTTCATTTAGAGGGGTATTTGAAGCTGGGAATTCCATTGAGTGGGACTTACCAGACCTTACCATACATTGTTTACTCAGCATTGGAGTAACATTGGATTCCTTGTATTAACATTTAAATAGCACTTTGTTTGTGCCACTTACAATACATTGCTTCATTTAATACTCAAAATAACCCTGTGAGGTAGGTATTGTTGACTACATTTTATAGACAAGGAAAGGGGCACAGAGGTAATAATTTGTCCAAGGATACACTGCTAGTAAATGGCAATTAGGATTTCCACCGGTGTTTTAGTACTAAAATTTAGTGAACAACAGTTACAGTTCCTGGTCCTCACAGAGCTTATTGTCTGGTGGTGGTGAGGGGGAATACGGAGAACTCAACCATTATATTATCATGGGTCTATGATGGGTGGGGTTGGAATTGCTATAGTACAGTTTATTATAGGCTGTGGTGGACAAAGTGGTGGTCAACAAAGGCTTCCTGGACAAAGTGAACTCTAAGCTGGTAAATAAAAGTGATCTGAATTAACTAGGGGGTTGGGGAGTGAGAATAAGAAGCATCAACAGCATGTGTAGAAGTTCAGAGACAGGGAGTAACCGTATCAGGAAGCAAGTAGTTAAGGATAGCTAGAGCATAGGGTGTAGAGTTACCGCAGAACGATGGTGGGGGGTAGAGGTCAGATCTTAAATGTCCTTGTTAGCCATATTAGAAAGTCTAGATTTTTTTTTTTTTAATGAAGGCAGTGGGGAGGCATGGAAGTATTTTAAGCCGGGGCATATCATAATCATACTTACCTTTTAATAAAATAATAACATACATTTATTGAATGCTTGCTATGTACCAGGCCCTATTTGAATTCCTTTATGTGTATAAACTTTGGTATACTTTTTTAAATCTTCACAATCACTTTTTGAGAGAGGTCCTGTTATTATTTTCATTTTATATAATAGATAAGGAAAATGAGGCAAAGAGAGATTAAGTACCTCACCCAATTTCATGCAGCCAGTAAGTGGCAGAGCTGGAATTCAGACCAGCTACAGGATGGAAAATGAAGGGGAGGGCAGCAAGACTGGAAACAGAGAGAGAAAGCGAGTGTAGTCAGGAGATGGCTGTTGTATTCCAGCAGAGAGTTGATGATCCCTGAATTGGGGAAGTGGCAGTGGGGATGGAGGATGTTGAGGGATTTTCAGAAATATTCAGGAGTTAAATTGGCAGGGCTAGGTGATTGATTGGATATGGGTGATGAGGGAGAGGACATGGTTTCTTGCTTGAGCAAGTGGGACCTTTCACTGAAATGGGAAGTACAAGAGGAGTAGGTTTGAGGGTTAGGAGACGATGAGTAGAATGAATTTATTTTTGTTTGTGTTGAACCTTTAGTGTCTTTAGTGTACGGTACTGGACAGAAACAAGGTTTAAAGATATAAATTTTGGGAGTCCTCACTGTATAGTGAGAGTTGCAGCCTTGAGATCTTTCTTTCAGTAAGCAGATATTAAATAGCAAAAGGTCAGTGGTTATATTAATTTATGAAAACCAACATCTAAAGGGGGACAAATAGAGCAATGTAGACAGATATTTAGAGGAGACCAAATAGAAGAAGCCAGAGAGGTAGAAAGAACCTGAGGGGTGTGTCTGAATGACAAATGAACAATTGGAGTGCGACCTTCCAAGAGTTTAGATATGACAAGACAGTGACATGTTCTTTGGCTTTAGTAGCAAAGTTGTTAGTGACCTATTGACTGGTTTCAGTGGGGTGATGGTGGCAGTGAGTGAGGAATGGTTATAGGTGAGGTTGTTTAGACAGTGAGTGTAAATACACATTTCAGAGAGTTAGGCTTTGAAGGAGTGGACAGAGGACAGGGGCATTTAGAGAGTTAGGGGTTGAAGGAGTTTTGTTTTTCTTTAATACACACCCACATGGGGGTTGAGAGAGGCCTGTAGAAGAGGATGCACTAGACAGTACTGGTACATAATTAAATGGTAAACATTTAATGGTAATAATTATTTATTTTAATATTATGTACCAATTTTTTTTTGTTTCTGTTTGATTTTTATAGGATGAAGTTGTGTTATGTCCTTACGATTCCAATCATCACATGCCTAAATCGTCTTTAGCAAAGCACATGGCATCTTGTAGATTGAGGAAAATGGGCTATACCAAAGAAGAAGAGGTACCATATATTTATTATTTTATAGTAAAATATATATGTATATGTCATGCATTTCATGCCTTAATTCACAGTTTTTGGAAGTTATATTGTGAGGCTCACCAACATGAAATAATAGCCCTTACTTGAAGGGTAGGATGATACTTGCCTAATTTCACAAATTATTGTGAGAAATAATTAAGTGATACTAATCTATTGTTTATGTCAAGTCTTAAAATAGTCAATTATCTGATACTTAAGAACACTAAGATTTTTTTTTTCAGGATGAAATGTATAATCCTGAGTTTTTCTATGAGAATGTGAAGATACCTTCAATTACTTTGAGTAAGTATTAAGTTATTATAATTTTAAAATATCTTAGTGTAGATACTGATTTTTCATTTTTGCGTTATCAAAAGAATGGATTTTATAAGCATGCTTACGATTAAGAAGGACATTTAGTATCTTCAAAGAATGTAGAATTAATTAATGTATAAGGCAACTAATTCACATAATCTGAAGTTTAGAGACCAGGCTTGTATTAATAGGCAGTGAAAACCTTACAAAGCTTTGTGTAGTAGAGCAGACACCTTCCTTCTGAGTTACAACAAAAATTTGAGCATGTGACATAGATTGAAGGATGAGACTGAAGATGGACATGTGTTCCAGGGATTCACAGCATATATAGAGGTTAAAGTCTTGGGCTCTTGAAAGAGAATGTCCTGATTCAACTCCTGTTTTTATCATGAACAGATGTGACTTTCAGCGAGGTAATTAACCTGTTTGTTGCCTAAATTTCTTTATAAAATGGAGATGGTTATAATAGCACTTTGCGAGGATTAAGTGATATATTCTTAGAATAGTGTCAGGCACTTAGCTGGAGTCAGCTAAAGGGTCACAGAGTTGTGACCATTACAGCACAGGCTTTGAGAATGTTAGCTGTTACTGGTCAGTAAAATTTGTCGCTGCTACTGCTGCATGCCTAATTATAGACATGAACTGCTTGAAGTCTGATTACTTACCGGGCTGTAGATAAATCTGAAAGGTTCTGTGTTCAGATTTCATAGACAGGGATGTGGATATTTCTTAAGATTCTGGAAGGTTTGTCCACATGCCCAAAGGGCTTCGATCAGAAACCAGTTAATCATTTAATTATGGTCACTGATGATTCATATTGTATTTATGGATTTTTTTTTTTTGACAGATAAGGACTCACAATTCCAGATAATTAAACAAGCTAGAACTGCAGTTGGGAAAGACAGTGATTGTTATAATCAAAGTAAGTGGCATTACAGTTTAAGTGAATTAATGAATCAAATTATTATTTTTCTCATAAACATGTCACTAATTTCAAGAAAAACCTGTGAAAACTGTTACATGGGAAAGGTTAAGTTTTACATTTAGCATTAGGCTAATTTGCTTCATTTCACCATCATTTGTTAGATGTTTCCTGTTGAGATACACTAGAGTCTCACCAGGACACTGTCTTAGCTAGGGGTTCATCCTTTGGAATAACCTGGTGATTTAGAGGTGAGATTGTCTTGTGGCTAATATAAAAAACTGTTATTTAGTAAATACAGATGGTCCCAACTTAATGATGATTTGATTTAGGATTTTTTCAATTTTATGATGGTATGAAAACAATGCACAATCACAAGGTTTTAGACTTTAAGTACTAGTGACTCTGGGCTGCATTTTCAACTTAACCGTATAAAGTTTATGATGGGTTTATCGGGATGTAACCCCATGTAAGTCAAGGAACATCTATAAATGCCACTGAGTGAGACTCTTTTACCCTGAGATTTCCTCTCTTTAGAGTATTGAAATGCAATGTAAAGAAAAGGCTTGGGCTGAAAGAGATTAGTCTCCACAGGTACCCTCAGATTGCTACACAGTAAGTGAGTTGGTTTGAAGTGATGAATGCTTGGGATCCCCTTCTCAGAAAAAAAGTACAAACACAAAAGTTTTACATATAATTTCAGAGGATTCATATTAATAGATCCTTTCATGCCCACCTTTAGAGCTGGGTTAAAGAGTTCTCCCTGGGAACTTCAGCAGAGAATAGGTTAGAAGTTTTAAGCATAAGCTTTTAGGAAATTGAAAGAAAACTTAATCCATCAAAAACAGAGACATAGGCCAGACACGGTGGCTCACGCCTGTCATCCCAGCACTTTGGGAGGCTGAGGCGGGTGGATCACCTGAGGTCAGGAGTTCAAGACCACCCTGGCCAACATGGCGAAACACTAAAAAATACAAAAGTTAGCTGGGCATGGTGGCAAGTGCCTGTAATCCCAGCTACTTGAGAGACCGAGGCAGGAAGAATTGCTGGAACCCAGGAGGCGGAGGTTTCAGTGAGCCCAGATCGCACCATTGCACTCCAGCGTGGGCAACAGAGCGAAACTCCATCTCAAAAACAAACCAACAAACAAACACATAGACAAACGAGTTAATAAAAGTTTAAATTTCTAATGAATGTAGATATGATAGGACATCTAGCCAAAAACCTGAGTGGCTTCTCTTATAAGGATTTCTATTTCTGCATTGTCTTCTTTGAACCTTCTGTAGGTAGCTTTCTCTGCACAACTTACCTTTTTTTCCTCATTCTTTTTTCTAGCTGAATTATATTTACCAGGCTGTAGTCATGGTTGGTTTTCTCCCTCATTGAAGTTGAGGATCTTTACCAAATACTGTGTTAAGTCAGTATCTGGACTTGATTTCTCAGAGTTGCACTGTGGCTACAGAAGGAAGACCATCCTTAGCTGTCTATATTACATGGGTTCTCTACAACAGCCAGAAGTACATTTCTTGTATTTTTTGTTTTGAGGTTCCCACTTTTGTCCCTGTCAGCGAAATTCCAGATTTTTTTCTTTGAGGGAGACAGTTGACTCTCATTTTATTTATTCGGACAGATTACTGAGTTATGACTAGACTGGTCAAGCCTTTTTTGGCCTCTGCTATTGGTTCTACTCATATCCCCTGGTAGTGTACCCATAAAAAAGTTGGAGGTTTTTGGTTTTTGAAGAGGTTAATAATACTTAAAGGACTTTGTTTGACTCTTAAGTGGTTAGATTTACTGAATTTATTTTAGAGTTGAAAGAGAACTTGGAGATCATCTAATCCAGTGTCTGCATTTTACAGATAAGAAAAACTATCTGATGGAGACATGATAAAGTTCTAGTGTGTTGGTTCTAAAAGTCCTCCATATTTTTATTTTTTAAAAGGTTATTTTTTTAAAGCTCTTTTATGAATTACATTTCTCTTTCACAACAAACTTGTGATAAACTGAACGATATTTTCCCCTCCATGATAGGTGAAGAAACAGACACAAAAAAGTGAAGTAACTCGCCTTTGCTAGATAATAGCAAAGTGAATCCAGAACTAAGTTCTAAATTTTGACACAAACTCTGAACTGAGTTGATTTTCTGTTAGATACCCTACATTTAGTAAAATTTGTGGACTAGGATTCTAGATATTGCTCAAATTTATTTATCATGTCTTTCATGATTAAGTGGAAGAATATCAGAAACTTCGTATCTCTACATACTAATTGTGACTATTGGTGCTGTTAATTGTTAATTCTGCTTTGCGTAAACCTGTTTTAGAGAAATAAAAGTAGTTGCTTGGCCATGTATTAATGATGACAACTGTGAGTTTTTGTTTCTTTATCTGTAATATAAAACTCTATTTATAGAGTTGTTGAGAGGAACAGAGATAATGGATGCTAAACAAGCCCTAGCTCCAAAAATTGGTAGCTTCTATGGTCTAAGTGGAAATTAATGTACAGAAAGTAATATTAAGATAATGAAATGGATGAGTTTTATATATATAAGTAATTTAGAAAATGTTCTGCTTTTTAATTTTTATAACGGTAATAAGGGAGATTTGGACATGGAGTTTAGTTCTTTTCAAAAGCAAATAATTACTTCGAATGAATAGTTCTTTTGATAGGTAAGAGGAACTTTGATTCTGAATTCTTACACTATCTTAAATTAAGATATAATTGTTACCAGTAACTTTTTTTTCTTTTTTTTTTTGAGACTGAGTCTTGCTCTGCCATCCAGGCTGGAGTTTAATGGCACAATCTCGGCTCACTGCTAGCTCGGCCTCCTGGGTTCACGCCATTCTCCTGCCTCAGGCTACCGAGTAGCAGGGACTGCAGGCACCCGCCACCATACCAGGCTAATTTTTTTGTATTTTTTTAGTAGAGATGGAGTTTCACCATGTTAGCCAGGATGGTCTCGATTTCCTGACCTCGTGATCCGCCCACCTTGGCCTCCCAAAGTGTTGGGATTACAGGCGTGAGCTACTGTGCCTGGCCAACAGTAATTTTTTATATGATCTTTAACCTTGTTTAAAAATTTTTTTTTGGCTGTGCATGGTGGCACATGCCTGTAATCCCAGCACTTTGGGAGGCCGAGGTAGGCAGATCATCTGAGGTCAGGAGTTTGAGACCAGCCTGGCCAACATGGTGAAACCCTGTCTCTACTAAAAATACAAAAATTAGCCAGACGCTATGGTGCATGCGTGTAATCCAGCTACTCGGGAGGCTGAGGCAGGAGAATCGCTTGAACCTGGGAGGCGGAGGTTGCAGTGAGCCAAGATGGCGCCACTGCAGTCTAGTCTGGGCGACAGAGTGAGACTCTGTCTCAAAAAAAAAAAAATTTTTTTGTTTTATGTTCTCTGTAGAGAGTTATGCAATTTCTGAACAGATTATTTTTGTGGCTCATTTATGTCTTAGACATTTTAAGATCTTTTCCCTCAGGACAAGACTTTCTTTAAATATCTTATTGATGTATTTACTTCGAAGGGAGAATGACTCACATGAAAAATTTTACATTTCTCCATCTAATTCATATTTTGTTTGTTACACACTGAAATGTAAGTTTTTTGACAAGGTTTTATATGCATGTTTTCATTTCATCTGTCATGTCAGGCCTAAACTCAGTGTACAGAATTCTCAATCTTAAACTTTATGAAAGCTCGAACAGCTATTAGATGTACATACTTATTTTCAGATATAGTTACTTCGGCTAATTTTTTAACCAAGATATTTCAATCATAAACAATCAATTTATGTTTAGTGGTTTATCTTTTTCCTTCAATATTAAATATTCAAGTTGTATATTTCAGTATCATGAAGTGTGTTTGAGTCATGGCCATGATCAGTGTGCTATCAAAGAAACTTTAAAAGACAGGATAGAATGGCTTTAGATCCAGTCTGTTCCTATCACTTGTGAGACTTTGGGCAAGTCATGTTACTTCTATGACCCTTAATTTCTTTATCTGTAATGTTAGGGAATTGACTCTGAATGAATTCTCCCTAAAATTCTGAATTTGTATCTTTGTGACAACACCTGCTACTACTATTTAATGTTGTATGTTATATGTTTAAGATCCCCTTTGATAACAAAAGTAACTAACAAGAATTAGAATTGGCATTATTAAAACAATAGATTAGAGTTTCAATTTGGGGTGATGAAAAAATTCTAGAGATGGATAGAGGTTGCACAACAATGTGAATGCACTTCATGTCTCTGAACAGTACGCTGAAAATATGGTTAGAATGTTAAATTTTATGTTATATATTTTGCCACAAAAAACCTGCAAAAACAGGCAGCCAAAGGGTCTTAGAGTTATTATAATTACAGCGCATTCATATGTACCTTTAAATCATTTAGAAACATGCATTTTAAAAATTTACATTTTATGTAAATGTAAGTTTATTTAAGTATGTTTATCCTTTTTGTTGTCAGAAATATCTATGTTCCGAATGAATTGAATGCAGTTTGTTGCTTAACCTTTCCTGTACTTTTTCTTTTTCAGTAATTGGGGTGAGTATAAAGAGGAATTAGGAACCTGAATGTACTCCTTATTTAAAGATATGCAGTATCCTTTTTGCAAATGATATCCTTTTAAAAGTATCACTCAAATTTCTAAACTTTATCTTAATACCTGTCACATATTATAGTCTTGAATTGGAATTTTGGTTGAATTACAAGGAATTTAAGTGTCAGTCTTCATCATAAACTTAAGATGAATAAATTGAAGAAAATGCTAAAATAATTTAAGAAGGAAATTATATTTCTTTGTTTAAAAATAACAGGCAAAGGTATATAGGGAGCTTGTTTGTAATACATCATTACTTTCTAATCTTTGTTTTTCTCCCAAATTTTTATAGCCTATATTCAAAGGAATTAGGCTTATCAAAGCTGTTTTTATAATTTTGTATTATAAAATGCTTACTATAATTAGAATAAAATTGATTGACTTGAAAGGGAACCCTTTTTTTTCCATTAATTCAAAACCCTTTGACTAGTAAAAATGGCCATGTATTGTTATCTAAAGCCGTGTTAAACCATGGCCTCAGATTGACTGCAGCTCTCCTCTTAATATGTAGACAAGTAGTACCTCTTTTTGTTGTAATGCTTAGTTCATAGTATGCTCTCATTTGAATTCTTTTTGCCTCTACCTAGGAACTTAATGAGGTTAGACTTTATCAAATATAAGTATCTGGAAAGAGCTACTGATTTTATGTTGTTCTATGAACCAGTTACTACTTTAGAATAAGTTAGCAAACAATAAAAGGATTCCTTTAGTAGCTCATGTTCTTTGTTTGCATTAGTGAATAATGAAGTCTAGAAAGAATTGTTTTAAATTGCTTTTTTTACAGTTCCAATCATTTTTTTATTTGAGAAAATTTGAATCTCAAAACAAAAATTTTCTTCAATGTTTAATACATCACATCAAGGTATTGTATTTACTTTTTTTCACTAATGAGCAGATTTTAGAAAATTCTGTAATTACCGGGGGGCACTGCTATTAACTTTTTTCAGTTAATTTGGTTAAGCCACTATGCTTCCTCCTCAGGAAATTAAAATGAGTTTAGTTTCAATTTAATCTGTTCTTTTCTGGCCTGACGAGGTGTGGGATTTCTGCTACTTAATTATTTTTTGGCCCCTAGCTCTAAGTCCTTGCACAAGTGGGATATATTTTGAATATTGACCATCTAGCTTGATGTCTCATACAAAAGATATTTTTTACACAGTTTTTAATATTTCCATAGTTTATTTTCAAAGGGACTATAATGCATATTACTTATTAAAAGCATTTTCTTCCCAACTTTGATGGGGAAAAGCCTATCAACAGATACCTACTTTTGTAGATGGCTATAAAAATTGTTACCCAAAAGGTTTTCTTAGAGCAAATTGTCTTTTATGATTATTCCTGCCTGCCTTCTTGGGATCTGTCTTTATATTGTTGGAGAGAATAGCAAACCTCCATAATACGTTGTGTTTTTTTTGTGGATATAACATTCAGGATAGAATTGTTGTTTGTCATTTATTGCTTAGATTGATATTTTGTATATTTAGAGATTATGAAAAAGAGTTTGTGTTAATATTGTATTATTAAAGCACATGTTTGAAGATAATTAGTAGATTTTAAGTTCACAGTGCTTCATGTATTGTTTATTCTTGTGATTTTATTTTCACTTTAGGGATTTATTCTTCTTTGCCTGTTGAAGTTCCTCTGAATCACAAACGGTTTGTTTGTGATCTAACTCAAGCTGATCGTCTTGCCCTCTATGATTTCGTAGTTGAGGAGACAAAGAAAAAGCGCTCTGATTCTCAGATTATTGAAAATGACAGCGATCTCTTTGTAGACTTGGCTGCCAAAATCAATCAAGGTTTGAGATGCACATCATAGCTTTACTTTTTTTCATTATCATTTTATTCTGTGAGTGTTATTAAGATGATTTAATTGTCGGGCCACTTTGAGTTAGAGTAAAATGGTTTTATATCATTTAATATTAAAGTGAAGTTGGCCCTCTGTAACTGTGGGTTCCACATCCATCAATTTGACCAACTGTGGATTGAAAATATTTGGAAAAAATAAAAATGGGTGGTTGCCCCTGTACTATACATGTAGAGACTTTTTGTTGTCATAATTCCATAAACAATATATTAACAACTATTCATACAGCATTTACTTCATATCAGGTTTTTGGTGTTTTTTTTTTGTTTGTTTTTTTGTTTGTTTGTTTGAGACAGAGTCTTACTCTGTCACCCAGGCTGGAGTGCCGTAGCGCTATCTCTGTTTGTTGCAATCTCTGCCTCCCAAGCTCAAGCGATTCTTGTGCCTCAGCCTCCTGAGTAGCTGAGATTACAGACGTGTGCCACCATGCCTGGCTAATTTTTGTATTTTTAGTAGAGATGAGGTTTTGCTACGTTGGTCAGGCTAGTCTCAAACCCCTGGCCTCAAGTGATCCTCCTGTCTTGGCCTCCCAAAGTGCTGGGATTACAGGCTTGAGCCACTGTACCTGGCCTGTATTAGGTATTGAAAGTAGTTCAGAGATGACTTCAAGTGTACAGGAGGGTGTGTGTAGGTTATATGTAAATACTGCACCATTTTATATCAGAGACTTGAGCATCCATGGATTTTGGTATCCTTAGGGGTTCCTGAACAAATCCTCCACGGATACTGAGGGATATTTACTCAGTACCTGAGGTTTTACTCTGACTTTTACATTAAATGTACCTTCTTTCTGTAAGAATATTACAACTGTGCTGTTACTTTAATCCATGTACCTAAGCACTCTTATGTTCAACTAATGGCTGGAGAAAAGGAATGATATAAAACTTAGCCCGTGTATATAAATAATATACAATTTTTAGAATGTTTTTATGTGCTACTTTGAAACGAGTTAGAAATATAGGATTGTGATGTGTTTATTTGATAATTCATAGAATTTAAAAGGTTTGAAGGATATAATAATTTTATTTTATCCTTTCATTAGATAATAGTCGAAAAAGTCCAAAATCCTACCTTGAAATCCTAGCAGAAGTAAGAGATTATAAAAGAAGACGCCAGTCCTATAGAGCTAAGAATGTTCACATAACCAAGAAATCATATACTGAGGTAAGTTTTACATAATCTTTGTTGATAACAAAAATTTTCTTTTGGTAATTTTCTAAATCTGTTCTATGAATTTCCACAATTTTTTGGAAATTTTCTGAAAGTGTCTTCAGGGTGGCCACACCTGATTTGTATCTGTTCCATCAGTTCTAGACCCACCCCTTAGCAAGCAAAGGCTTTCATAGTACAAGAACCTTATATAAAACAATTGTACAATCTTAAAAGGTATCTCCTTGTGAGAAAATAGTAGTGTATCATGGTAAGAGCATGAGTTTGGGCTTTAGGTAGACCTCACATTGAGTTTTGATTCTGCTATTTCTCATTGGCTCTTTGACTTGAGCAAGTTATTTGAGATTTTTAGATTGAATGTTTTCTTTTCGTAATAAGAATATAATCTTTGCAGGGTTGTTATGAGAATTGACTGACAATGCATGCAAACACAAATTTCTTCATGGATATTAGCTATTATCTTTTTTGGCAGAAAGCATGTTTTTATGTACTCTAGTAAATATTTGGGCTTAAGAAATGTGTTGATATACATTATTTATACATTAGTCTCTTAGTGTATATCTAGACTTATTTTCAGATGCCATTTAATGGCTCATTAGCGTCGATGAATTTTTTTGGTGTATTAATTACCTTGCCCAGACTCTACAAATAATTTCCTCATCAATTCCCGAATTGTCCCCATATTTTTTCTTACTTCTCTCTGATGTAAAAGACCTTCGATAATTTGGCCTCCTTTTCCCAAGCATTTTCTTTTGCTTTAGTCAAGCATGTCTCTTAAACTGTATCTGATTGCATATAATTACTCTTACCTCCATGCCCTATTACCTGTTATTTTCTTACCTGAAATGCTCTGTTTTTGCCATTTTAAATGTTGTTGAGTTTAAAGGCCACCATTTCCATGAGGTGCTAGTTGACTAATCTATCACTAGTTTATTGTACTTATACTCTGTACCACACAGCTTAACTCTAAATTTTATGCTGTTCTTTTTTACAATTAAAGTCTGTGTTTTAGACTTACCTTCCCAAGTAGAGGCCTGGGTCCCTGTCATACTACCTTGGTGATTCTTACAGTCCCTAAGATACTTGGCTCATCAGTTGTTTATTCTCTGGTCTCATAACCCTTGTAATCAAGCTTAAATTGTTGCTGCTAGCATTCTTCATGATTTTATAGTTTATATTTTATTGTGGAAATATTCAAACATACTAAAGTGGATAGCATCGTCTAAGGAACCCTTGTGTACCCATCACCCAGCTTCAAAAATTGAAATATAAGATTGGCAAGGGCTTCATAGAGAATGTAGCATTTGAGTGAAAGGGAGAAGCAAGGAGGAGTAAAGGAATGTCTGCTTATTGACTCTTTCGTATGTGGTGGACCTGAGCTGGGTGGGTTCTGTGCAAATAGCAGACTTCAAGGCACTTATGTAGAGCTGCTGACAGGGAGGCTTGTAGGCCTGCTAGGGAAGTGCAAGAGCTGGAACTGGAGATAGGTGTGTGTGACTCATGTCACTCCGCTAGGTTTGACCTTGGTGTATCTTAGGTTTTCCATGGGAGAATATAGTGGAGGAGGAGAAGTGGTGGATAAGGATTTTCTGGGTAGAAGAACTAGCATTCTGAAAAGCAGATAAAAGTTTAGGAGTTTTTCAGAAACTCATTAGTAACGCAGGGTGGCTAGAGCTTAGGGCTTCTCCATTGAGAGATGAGGCTAGGTTGTATCTGATGTAGTAAAATCCTGGAGGGCTTTGAAGGCTTCATTAAGGAGTTTGGATATTGTTCCATTTTACTTTGAGAGCCATTGAAAGTTTCTTTAAGGTAGGGAGAAATGCAGTCAGGCCTGAATGATAGTGTTTCTGAGATTGCCTCTTGTCCCCTGTACCTTTTTTCTGGAAACATTTTCTGTTTAATCATGAGGGAAGTGTAAGCTCCTATTTTAGTTTTGTCTTTGCTTCTGCAGTGACTAACCCTGTGCTTGGTGGCATGGGTAAATAGGAAAGTTTCCTTGTAGAGTCATTCAGAAAGTATCTGTGAAGTGGCTGTATGTTTCATATTTTGTCTTAAGTCATATGATTAAGTCAAGATGACTTAATTATAAGGTTTTTAAAAAATCATTTGTAAATAATCTCTAACAGAGAGATAAATTGCAGAACTAAAAATAATACCAAGAACTCCCATATTGCCTTTACCCAGGTTACCCATTATTAGCATTTTGCCACATAGCTTATCATTGGCACTCTCTCTTTCTCTGTCTCGATCTGTACATATTGTTTTCCCCTGAATTCTTTAAGGGTTAAATTACATATATCATAACCCTTTATCCCCGGTGTGTATTTCATAAGAACAGAGATATTTTCTCACATAAAGGTAGTACAGTTTTAGCAACTTCAAATTTAATATTGCTATAAAACTTTTATCTGCTATTCATATTCCAGTTTGACCATTGCCTTTTCTGTGTTCTCTAAACTACACAAGTCCCACAGTCCATTATGTCATAGCGCTTAGTAAATATTTGATTGTTAGCACTGATTTTTCTAGTGCTATAGTCTTAATTTTTTGAGCAGTTTTCTTACCTGAAGTTTGGTGCTTACCTCTCCCAAGGTGATTCGAGATGTGATAAATGTGCACATGGAAGAACTCAGCAATCACTGGCAAGAAGAACAAGAGAAGGCAGAGGATGATGCTGAAAAGTACGTCGTTATCTTTATTGGTGAAAATACTCTCTTTGATAACAGATAACAATTAACTTATAATTGTTAAATTTTAGCATCTCCAAAACCCTTGATAGCACATAATATCCTCATGAAAATGCTTTTTGTTTTTTGTTATCGGTGCCCAGAGTTATTATACCAGAGTTGTTCTGACATTACCCTTTGACAGTTTTCAGGGGACAACCATATTAGTGAAATATTTAAATAGCAAAACATACTAATATTTATGCTTAGTGTTCCATTATTGGAACGCCAAACCTGTGGGAATTATTTATATCCTACTGCCCACCAAGGTCTCATTGCAAAAATTTAAAAAATTGCAACCTCAGGCATAAAAGGGTTAAGAGCTCTGTTTATTTGTTGTCTTATATGGGTTATAAGATTGTGCGTATTGAGACCATATCTACCATTGGTTTGATATAGAATATTACACTTTAGACTGGTGTGTCTGTGTATGTATACTGGAGACCAGTGGTAAAACAAACTGATTAATATTCTTTTCTATGTTTTAGGAATGAAGAAAGGCGATCAGCTTCAGTAGATTCACGGCAGTCTGGTGGAAGCTATTTGGATGCTGAGTGTTCACGACATAGAAGGGACCGGAGTAGAAGCCCACATAAAAGAAAAAGAAATAAAGATAAGGATAAAAACTGTGAGTCGAGAAGAAGGAAAGAGAGGTGGGTCTAACCCTGCATCATCCAACATTGAATTCTCTACTTTTTAAAAGTAGAACGGGTTCTTCTGTTGTAGACCATGCTGAGAAAATAGATTTTAAGAATAAGCTAAAGTAAGGAGAGTAAACAATTGATTATGATTCTTAACATTCATTATAGTTCAGTTCAAATAGCCACCACTCTAGTGACATAGTTCTTTACATGTGTGCTTGGATATTTTTTTCCCTTTTTTATCTCTTGCTTGCTTGCTTCCTAAACAGGACATATGAAAGTATTGTCTAGGCAGGATGTTAACTGTATTAAACACGTGCTTTCCTAGATCCCTTTCTTTTGCTCCTTCCTTCCTTCCTCTTTCTCTTATTCTTTCTTTCTTTTTCCTGCTAATTCCTCAAATAAGGGTATATTGACATTGTCAAAATTGACAGTCAATTTTGCCCTTGTTAGTAAAATTTGTATAGCTTGAGAGATATGAATTAACACTGAATTAATAAATGTAAATCATTTGCGGTCTATTTCTGTATTCCAGCTGCTTACAATGTACCTGGATCTCAAGTTCATCAGGTCTAGAACTAAACTTACCTTTTTCTCAGTCTGCTTCTTTTTCCCCAGCATTACTATCCTGGTTAAAGAGAGGACTCTCATCTATTAAGTCAGAAATCAAGGAGTCATTTTAGATACTTCCTTCCACTCCTTACCATCTGGTCAGTTCCTAGTGAAATGATGGTCATTTTCCTACTTTTTCTACTTTTCTCTAAACTTGCTGCATATGATTGCATCCCTTGTGTACTGCTTAGAGTGAATAGTCACCTCATAGAACTCTTCAGTGGTGGCCTGGCATGGTGGCTCATGCCTGTAACCCCTAAACTTTGGGAGGCTGAGGCAGGTGGATCACTTGAGCTCAGGAGTTCAAGGCCAGCCCGGGCAACCTGGCAAAACCTCGTCTCTACAAAGAATACAAAGATTAGCCGGTCCCAGCCTCTTGTGGGGCTGAGGCAGGAAGATTGCTTGAGCCTGGGAGGTTGAGGCTACAGTGAGCCGCGTTCTCACTCCTACACTCCAGCCTGGGCAACAAAGTGAGACCCTGTCTCAAAAAAAGTGAGAACTCTTCAGTGGCAAAGTTCACATTCTTTTGAATGGCTCTCAAGACTTCTGGGATCCTGGCTCCTACCTACTTCTTGTATTTTGCTACTACCCCATGAAATGCATAACTTGTGCTCTAGCCAGCCTGAGTTACTTAGAGTTCCTCATCCAGACCGTGCCACATCTGTGCCTTTCCACTTTGTGTTCTGCTGCCTACCTGGTTTTCAAAGCCTCCTTACTCCTCCTTATCCTTTAAGACCCATCTCAGCCATTTCCTGAAGCCTTTTTCTCACTGGTTCAAGCAGAGCAGATCATCTTTTCCATTTTGTGGCCACCTTACCTAGCTCATATTTGTTCTTGAGCTTAATAGTTATTATTATCGCTGCTAGACTGTGAGCTCCATAAAGGCAAGGTCTGTATCTTATTTAGTTTTATATACAAAGTGCTTTCAAATATTAGGCTCTCAAATAATATCCTGTCTCTCCAGGGCCACTGGTAATCAGGAATTAAAGCTTGTTGTATTGGTTTGGTAATTTTGTTCATCTTACTATCATTCAGTTAATTAGGTTTAAAGCCAACTATGACTTAGTCCTTTTTTTTTTTTTTTTTTTTTTTTTTCCTTTTCTTATACAAATGAAATATTTGCTTAGTAA